CCAGGAACCTGGACCAATACATTACCTCAGACTAAAAGTCAGCAGGTGGGATTGTTATAAGACTTCAGGGAGCCAGCATAAACCTTTGACTCAAAGGGAGTGGTCTTATTATAGGACATTGAAATAGATCTTGTCTGGAAACTGCCACTATTCAGTAATAGATATGAGTGGGCTTATTGCATGACATTGTGATTAGACATTGTAAAGAAATTTCTTCTAAAAAGCAATAGATATGTATAGACAAACACTGGGCTTATTACCAGGCATGAGCTTATTACTGGATAAATACGGTGTATATATATATAAAGCTAGCCACCAAACAATAATTACTACTGACTGACATCTAATTAACAAAGGCACAAACAAGTTAATGTACTAGACCCATGGCTGATATTCTGTATCATACCCTCCGACCAGAGGTTACTCAGGTTATTTGTATCATTTCTCATTCCATGACTACAACCATCTCAGATACTTGTTTACGGAGTGATGTTACATTGTACTACTTTTGTTTACTTGTCTGATGGCCTGTGGTGTTTCTGGAGTGTACTGTTTCCTTAGATTCTAACCTTTTCACAGAAAGCTGGCGAAACAATACTTAAATTTCACTGAATTCTTATAAAAATATATCTTATTTCATTACAGTTCCTCTCTGAATTCAGTCTGAATTCAATTTGATATGTGTTACACATATTCATAAGTTCTCTGAAAGTCCAGACAAAAAGATATATACGTTTCCAGTAACTTATTGGAAAAATTTCACCTAAGTAGTAGGCTAAAAACTTTATTTTCACAAATAATTTTATAAGGTTTTATATAGGATAGAGATCTTGATTTCAAAAGTGCTTCTTTGAAAATTGCCTAAAAAAGTTTAGGGTATAGGTACAAAATATTAGGGTAGGTAGGATAAGTGGACACAGGAATTCTTTTTCAACTGGCCCTAATGGGAAAGTGAAGAGGTTTGTATATATTGTGTTTGTAATACCTAAAATGTATTCACAACCAAGGACTGACATTATCTGAGATATTTCTGTTTGAGGAAAAGCTGAAAATGGAGTGGACTGCTGGTTAGAAATTTGTAATTAATGGCCTTTACCTGTGTATCACAACACTGTAACATTGAGGATATTAAGCATTAGATACCTAAAACCATGTTTCAATGTTTCAAAATAGGATAATGAAGACTGGGAACATAACAAAGAGTGCTGAAGACACTGGTGAAAAAAGTAATAACCATAGAAAGAAAAGAAATATGATTTCACCAAAAGACCTGCAGATTCATTTATTGTACTGTCTTTAAAATCTCAAAAATAAAAGATACTTTTCTGATATAGCCAACCAACCTCACCCTCTCCCTCAAATTTCCTGAGAGAAGGGAGGGGGGAGGGTGTGTTCATTGGGTAAAGGGGTGCTCAATTTTATTATTCTACAATAAGCCCAGGGCAGTACATCTGATTTAAAGTCAGAGGATAGGCTTATCTGAGAACTATGCAATATTATCTGGTCCAGAGGGAGAGGTTTCCATCACACAGTTCTGCATCACAATCATCCTACTAGCTTTGCAACATAACATGCAATATTGTCAGATACAGTAAGCCTATGCGTATATCGAAACCTGAACTTACAAGAGGTGACACGTATCACATGGATCAGTGGGTTGTTTAAATGGATCATAACACAATTTTTATCATTTATCTCTATTACAGAATATGATATTCATTGAAACTGGTTATGGATAGTTTTTTAATATAAACAAAACTCTACAATGATTTAAAAACACTATCACAAAAATTCCTATCTACATAATAATAGTGTAATATTAACATTGACATCCAAACATCACAAATATCCTGGAGTCCTATCTATATCACACAACATTCACAATGTCCTTTGGTGTTTCCCGATTCTTTCAATTTCCTCTGCAAAAAGGTTAAAAAACAAAATATGCAGTTCTACATCATGTCAATCAAGTTGACAAATCAGATTACAAACTTTATTGCAATGTCCTTGAAATGATATCCAGCTAAGCAATCTTTGTTAAAAAAACGACACTAAAATATCTGCAGTATACTTTACCGATTCACAATTTTAACAATAACAATTATATAAATTCTGCATAAAGGGTTTGAAAATGGGACTTACATTCCCAGCAATAGAAAAATCATGATTGAAGAAACCATTCACTTTAACTCATGGATATATATCTGGTTTGCTACAACACTGAAAAAATAATTACACTCCTTCCCGTAAAAATGGTAATTTTTGTGGAGGATTTATATGCACAGATTTGATGTGGGCATTTGATATAAAAATCCACTAATTCATATGCCTATATATCAATGAACTATTAGCATTGATAGACCGATTTCTGAAACAAAGTACCTGCAAAAAAACACAGAACCACAAAATTTGAGCCCCCACAAAAAATCTATGATATTACAGTACCGTAACTCTTTGTAGCTTGTGAATCCTGTTCAACAAAGCTTCTTTGAGCACTTACAAGTCTGACAGTGTCATTACTAAGGTAGAAAATTCAAAGCATAAGATGGGTATATCAGAAGCACCAATAGATCTTCAGTTCTATTTTGTATACAAATATACCTAAAAAAGGTCTATACAACTGTGTTAATTAGCACCAACATCAGCACTGATATGTACAAAACATGTACAGTTTTCTGATGAAAGACAAAGAAACATTTACCTTTAAGTTATAACAAAGTTCTCTTCTTATAAACATTTTGGTGTCTATGAGCTGATTCTGTTGGATCATGTGAATTAATCAACAAATTATACATCATATATATTATTTTCTAACATGTACAGTTCCTTTTCTGAAATAATTCTTACATGCTGGAAAGCGATGAAAACAAAGAAGAGTATATTTCATCTCAAATCACCCTTTTAATGTTGTACTGTTAAACATTTGATGTGCATGAATGTGTGATGTTTGCTAATACTTTCAGTGTGTGAATCTACAGATGTCTTATAAACCAACTCTCATTTTCACATTGTCAGTCAATACTTTTAAACCTTTGCACCTCAATTGTCATCCAAGAATTCAAACTGAACCAAAATTACCTTTCCTGTTTTTAAACTTCAACCAAAATCATTAATAGATCGATCTCCAAATCTGACTTTGTATGAGTCAGTAAGGTAATGAATTTATAAACATTTTAAAATCAACATAATACTAAGATTAATGGGCCTTTCAGACAAATATTTGCCGATCAAAATAATCATCAAAATTTCATCCAACTGGATATGCCCCCGCCCCAATAATCGTTAATTTAAATTTGAGTAATTTCAAACTCCTTCATGGAGTGTAAAATATCTATGTGTATAGAAAAAGATCTATGTGTTTTACACCATATATATATATATATATATATCCTGGTTAGTTACAGAAATTGTTTATTTCCCTTAAAAATCCAAAGTAGCAAATTACCAAGCAACAACAGGTATGCAATCCATGGCACCATTTCTAAAATTGCAATGAGTCCAGTTACAAAGAGATACAAAGGGCTCTCAAAATTTCAGTGAGTCCAACAGGAAAAGTAGGAGCCCAGGACTCAAATATAAATTTTTTTCAGAAAACTGCATAGTTACCCAATTCATATGTGACTAATTTTGACTATCTCCTTACATGTTGTCACAATTGTCAATGAAAAATATAGCTACCAGTGAATCAAAATCAAACATTCAAAACAGATTTAATTGGGAGAAAAACAACAGTTACAACCAAGGGCTACACGAATGACACATTATAATATTTGAACCACTCTTCATTATACATTAATTGTAGATAATGTCACAATTACATCAAGGTTGATGTCCATAGTCTAAAGACATCAGTAACAAAATTCTCCACGCCTCCCTTTGTTTTGACATGCTTTAGTTAGCTGCTAGGTCAGAGAGAGGAGAAATTTGCCAGATTTGTTTGTTTAGGGTTTAAACATGATCCCACAACACTGACAGGGTCATTTATGAGGACGTGTGTCAAGGGAACACCTTAACATAGCAAACAAAGCAAAGAATGAAAGAGCAGACTGGGAAAAAGGGAAATGTGTTGGGAAACATATATATTTTTTGTCTCTTCAAAGTCCCATGGGGTGTGTGATGCTTAGTTATAAGCTGAAAAGCACATATTTAACACATGGCATAAGAGAAACTATCCTAATATATAAGGAAAGACCCAACATAAATGGTTTCTATCATCATGCAGTAGGATACAGGAAGGGTATTCCTTTCCATTCCTACATGGGTGGAATTTGTTAGAGCAACTACCAACAAGCAAACCTATTTTCTCTTCTTTTTCAGATTTTTTAAAACAAGGTACAAAGACTGAGGTTCATTTATGACAAAGAACCAGAAACTAGGTCCATATATTTACTGACCCTACATAGTCATTCAGCTGGTCTTGATCTTTGACAAATAGAAATTTTGAAAGTCAAGTCACCCTTTCCTCACTGAAGGGTAAAAATGAAAGTTTATTTTATAAAACAGATATATATGTTTTCAAACCTACAACACAGTAAAATTGACTTCTTCAAAATCAAATACTTCTCTGTAGCTTTAATGGCAAAATGAAAACCTGTACGCTATACATGTAAACTAGTATCACTAATCCTTCCCTTCCATGGTATGTAATAATCTTTATTTCATGTGAAATCAGATAATGACTTTTCTTTGATGACTGTGAAAAGTCAGTGTTTTAAAATTCTTTAATAGCAAATCTACACTCTGACATCTGTGGAAGTATGCTTTCTTTTCTTCAGGTAAAATTTCGTCCAATACCTCGACAATTTTTCATGTATTTATTTCACAATCTCTTTAAATGAAATATGCTGAATTATGTCATGAAAGTTAACTTTGTTTTGTAAAGAATTTTCATCTATTCTGGAGAATACATCTACAGTACATAACCAACTTAAAGTTCATTAATTTCCACTTTCCTATTGTAAAAATTTAACTAAAGGTAGAAAATTTAAAATCATACTTACTGCAAATAAACCATTTTGGAGTCCAAATGGAATGGGCGTAAGTCTGGAGAGAGCAACCACCCTAAATCCCTGGCCGCTTTCCACCACTCTTATCACAGCTTCCATTTTATCGTTGTAGAATCTTTTCATAATACAACTCTTGCAAAAATTTTTCATAACTAGGTGTGCAACTAGAATCCCTATACCCCCACATGTCACAACAACTAGAGGTCCGTATAATATCCCATAAAGATATCCAGCAGCTACCATTAGTAGCATATACCCCCATGCCATTGGAAATGACACTGCTGTGAATAGCACCAAAAATATTGTGCAACTTATAACAGGTTCTGTTTCTTCTAACCACAGAAGTAAATTTCTGATGTAATGACGACATGCTACTACAAGTAAACATATCACTGATATCACAAATACCGAAGAAAGGGAAACTTGGTAACAACTTGGGCCCGTTCGGAATAGGTCAGTTTCTGCACTGTTAGGTTGAAATTCCTTCGTCTCTTCATTGCATATGAATGCAGTGGCATCATCCCTGTTTGAGGTTGAACTACATTCATTTTGTAGCGGTTGGTACGCATTTGTTTGACTCCCCTCCAGGTTAAGTTTTCTACACAGGAACAGTTCATCAAGAGTGGAAGATTCACCTAACAGTAACTTGGACTGCTGTGCAATGTGTTGAATCTTGAACTGATTGAACCCATCAGAACACGACGTCATAGTTGATATAGGTAGCAGGTCGGTGATAGTTTATTGATAAAGTTAGGCTACCTTGCGATTCGATGATTATTTATAGATAACGTTTTGTCACTGTCACCTCATCAAACACTTGCTATCCTGTGGCTAGGTAGGTAGGCCGACATTATTATTGACCCGTGGCGTGCCAACAGAGCAGTCGATCCCTTGCACATGGTCTTATTCTGCTACGGGATCATACACAACACCAATGTGATGCTATAACGTGAGTTTGATAAGGGCTTCAGAGTCTGAGAAAACTGTACACAAAACTTCCTCGTGTGCAGTCGCCGTACCGCGCTCGTGCTCAACTAATTCTACAAGGAAACTTGTTTCAGTTTCCTTAGTTTCATCTTTGTACTTGAACTCCGTGCAGGGCTGATTTGCCGGGTTGTCAGCGGCATAGTAGGTTTAACGGAAATGCATGTGATCTGATAAACAGTAACACATGTGAACACTATGAACACAATACACACAGCCCTCTTGTACGTGCATGTCCCATTTCAAAGCATGACAACGCACCACAACATAAACCGGAAGTCGCTTAAACATAGAAAAGAAATAATGTCGCATATAACGTTTAAAATAAACAATGAAAGTTGCCTGACGCAAGATTTCATAATTTCTCAGAGACAAGGTACTGGTTCGTCGTATATATCTTGTATCTTGTTGCATTGTTATTTCAAATACCACATGAATCGTCATGCTAAGGTCATTTTATAGAGGTAAATCGTTTTCGAACTCGACCAGAGATGTATTATATATATACGTCTCAGGCTGACTCTACAGTTTACCACCTTTACTATCCAAAACAATCTCTCATTTCACTGCGTTCTGTGTACGTCAATGTCATTGCATTACACGTAATTTTTACAAGTAAAAGATGTTGTGCTGAGTTTATTGCTTCACCAAAAAATGAGTTTAGAATGTAAATATATTCAAACGGGGTATTCCAGGGTCGGTATATTTTACCTCCTTCTTGGAATCACCTTGTCTATCAGACCATCTGCACAGCTCCTCTCCTACACTGATCGATATAATTTCATATTAAAACTCGACACTTGATATTGCAGGGCAAATTATTGTTTTCAAACATCAGCATCACAGCGGATTGCGATACATAACATTTTCTCTTAATACGCACCCGCCACATTCATGTTTCACTAATTAGCATACAGTACACCAAAGGTCACTGTCAAAAGCAAGCAAATCTTATTTAAGAGAATAGATTTAAATCCCTGCCCACCGAACCTATTTTTTCAGACAGAAACAGGAAGCACATATTTTTTTCGTGGTAGAAACTATCAGTCACTTGTTCGTCTCAAATAGAACAATCCATAAACATCCATTGATGTACAGAGATATGCAATTAATGTCAATATAATTTAAAAAATCCCAAACTGAAACAATAAATGATAATCAACTGTGATACCATTTATTTCTCAGTTAAATCTTGTATGAATTTGATTCGTAAACACTTCTTTCTTCCTGGATATCTTTTTTATGTGTTTGTCCGAGTTTTTACCAAGGCCTGGACTGATGAGATAATTAGAAACGAGTGTGCGTTTCGGTAAATGGACCTGATTGGTACGTATTTGATAGATGAGACTGGTTACTCGGTCTGATATTTGTGGCCTCAACAGGTGTACGGTATCCTAAAACCTCAGTCTATAGCCCGTCGGTCAGTTTTCTTGTACAATTAACTTACTGTCGTGTATGTATCACATTATCTGGATATATACAAAATTAATCTTTAATCAAATAACTAAGTCTCCCTTATCTATTCGCATTCTTGTAAAAGAGAAGGGGACTCTAAAAAAAATCCTTGATGACAACAGAATCCTAGGTCTTTTTTACAGGCCTGCTTTACCGCCAAAAGTTGATATCTTTACGTCATGTTAAGCGAAGTTTTTCTCACCTTTTCAGTTGAAACCACCGTTATATATGTTATCTGGATTCAAGTAAAGCGCTATGAAGATACGTTTAGTTTAAACTTTGTTTTATTGATGAATATTCCAAAAAGATGAAAAAAAAAATGAAAGGATTCAGAAACAAGTGCAAGTACTTATGTAAATCCGTCTCCTTGCATCTATATAGAATAGGTATAGAATAACAATAATACATATAACGTGTGCGGGGAAAAGGGAGAGAAATGGTGCGAGGATTTAGAGGGAGTTGAGGCTAGGGGTATACTGCATTACTGGAACAAACGCTGATTGCATGACATTTGGGCTGCACAGTTGGACAAGGTGTTACCTTGTACAAACAAATGAATGCAGATAAAACTCTAAGTTGACGCAACAGAGCTATAGATATGAATTGTATGATAAAGCTGTTGTAAATATCAAGACAATTAACAATATTTCAAGTTTAAAGGAGATCGTTTTAATTAAAAACGTTTGGATTGACAGAAATAGTTTTGTACACAATCAAAAATAGTTTGATTACACCCAACTGGTATGTCTGGACTATGATGTAGTAAAGTATGAACAAGATAGTTAGGAGGAAGGTTTCTAAAGCATTTATTTCGTAGTTGTTGTTAGTTTGGACAATGGGAGAAAAAATGTTCGGTTGTATTAAGTTTCGTGAGTACAGGTGAGTGTTTTAGGAGCTGCAGTTCATCCTCAGTTACGCATGGCGGATCTGACCGTGTCTGCTTCTGCAGTAGTAATAATGTGAAGGCATAAAATGAGTATCGGCATTTTCGAACTTTTTAAGGTTAATAATTGACGAATTGTATTTTATGTCATCGGGAATTTATCATATGTTTGCTTTATAGTTAATAAGTAATTTGCATTTCAATAAATAAATGATTAACAACATTTATAGATTCATAAAAGATTACGCAATTTGAGCAATATGTTTTCTTTATTAAAGAAGACAACATTATAAAATGGCGGGATTTTGTCAATGAAGCAGAAGACACTTATTCTTGCGGAGCACTTAGTCTTTTTATTTTCCTCATACTTTCAATTTTTCTCCGTTTATTTTTCCTTGTTGCCAGTAATTTGCCATCGTTCCATCGATTTTGATCTTGAAACCCAATTTTGCTCACATTTCTGTATCTATTTGTGGCTTTTACACCAAAATCTTAAGTCATATGATCATGATGAAATTTGCCTGGATAATTTGGACATATATCTTGCTTTTTGTAAAGTATGGAAAAATGGTGGGTTTTTTTTTTATTAATTCCAACTTACTGTGATCATATTCACTGCGATATCACACAATAGTTGTAAGCCTTTTTTAAATGTAGTTGTATCCCCTCGAAGGTTTATAACTGATTGATTGATCTCAGAACATTTTCAACCTTTACATAATTACATAAAGGATGCGGATTTAGTATTATTTTTAATTTAACGTTTTAAATATCAATTTCTACAAATTTTTAAAGATTATTTAAAAAATCAAAAACATGCATTTTTGAATTTTATTTGTAGGATTAATTATTTCAATGGTTACTATTTATTTAGAGTTTATCGAGTTTTTGCAAATTAAAGTTGCACGTCAAAACCAACACTGAAAAAGGAAGGTATGCAGTTTTCTAGTTATTACTAGGGTTAGAAGACCAAGTATGAGGTCTCTGAAACAACATTACATCAGCTAACATTCATTACCCCATCAGCAGGTTTAATTTTGTTTACATTTTTGTTATTTGCAGTTTTAGCTAAAATGACAATTAATACAAAAGATCAAAAATTAAAATCAGGTAAAATAAAAGGAAATGATGTTTTAAAAATTAAATCTTTAGTCTTCATGTAGATACCCAAGTATTACATTATGTAAGTACATACTTTTATGTCATCGTTAAAAAGATACACATATTTAAATGACCACTATTGTCATGTACTTTATGTATGTATTTCTTTCTGTATTTTGATTTTCTCATTTGCTGATTTAATTAGACAATCACGGTTTCACTTTGTTATAAATAAAGGAAGGGAGATAACTAGAACTTACAAACTGACAAATGTCGAGAAAATCATTATGATTTTCGGGGAGATACAACACAGACAGTTGGGAAATCTTTCATACATGATGCAGGTGATTAACTAAAAGATATTTTCAGTACAACAGACATTGTATAATGACTCACAAGCGAGTAGCGTCTTTGCATTATCGATGCTAATGTAAGGGCTTCAGAATGCGAGGTTACACATTGGTATCTCATTTTTTAAACCTTAATATACGGAGCTTAAAAGCTTACTCGATCAGTATTTCAACATTGCTCTTCGGTTCAATGTTCACTTTATCTGTTATCTAAATGGATGTTGAATGGTTCCGTTAATTTAGAAACAACCAATTATTTCATATAATTCTAGGATAATATATCACATCACCTAACTTGAAGAAAATCAGACGATAGATAAATTATGTGATATCTCCTAAATATGGGAAAACAATCTCAAATCCCACAATTTGCATAGCTCCAGCTTGCTCAGCTTGGGGCTTGGTGGTATGATTTGAGATTCACCAACGTCGTATGTTTTGGAAGAATCATATCTCGAACAGCTGAATGAATAAATAAATAAATAAATAAATAAATAAATAAATAAATAAATAAATAATGACGCAAAGATCAAAGACATTTCAACCATTCCCATCTTTTAAAACTTCAGGAACGGCATCCTCGATAATATTGTGGTTACAATTACTAAGCCTATTTCTGTTTTGCCTGGCTTATTAAAGAAACAACTAATTTTAAATTTTATTCGAATTTTGATGATGTCGGCCTTTTGTTTTAACAGGCGGACTTTTAAAAATCTACTATCAGTAGACATGATGATGACGACGATGATGATGACGAGGAGAAGGAGGAGGATGTCATGATTAGTATACTTACTGTGTGTGTAAGTTGAATCTTGGTATATATTTATGTATATTATTTAAATCTCCAAAAATTGAAAAATGAAAATAATAATAACAGAAAAAAGAAACCAGCGGATATTAATGAACGAGAAAAGCATTTAGTTGTTCGATGTTAGATGTGAGATTTAGACCTTTTATTGGCCGTCATCAAATACTGATTCATTTCAGCAAAGATTGTAAAACAAGTAAATAACTGACTGTTTTTGTCCGTTTTTTATTTAATTTAACAAGAATACTTCACAGTGACAATGTATTCAATAAAAATATATAAATTTGTATAGATTTGAGAGAATCAGATCGAATGACTTGACATAAATCCGAAACTTTTAAATCTTTTATATGTATTTTACTTTATTTTTTTTCTTTTCGGAAAGAAAGGCCTAGGCCTACTTCATCACTTAGTGCAATTTTTATACACCTGTTGTCATTTAAATTTTGTACCGAGTGGAGGAATAACCAACGACTCCAAATTCTTTGAAACTTGGTAGACTTGAAATCCACATCATGCGAACAGGATTTTCCCAAAGCATTATTTCAATAAGTAATTCATTTCAGCATTTTAATCTTATGCAGAGATTTTTTTTTCAGTTTTCATCAAGTGTATCTATAACTTGGTATATGTTTTAATTGGTCATTAAATATATAGCATTTGGAGTCATTATTTTCTTTATTATATTATTAATACATCTAAAATCTAAAATATTTATTTAGAATTGCGTTGGCGTATATTATTCCTCTCCTCGGTACTCTCATTAAAGGGAGGTAACTCTGGTAGATTTGTAGAACAAAGATGCAATTCACTTATTGTTACAATTGTCAGCTCTTTAGTAATTAAAACTACTTGAATAAACATGGGATGTGGCAGATGGACAGTGTGGAATGCAAGTCAGGTTACTTTTTGGCTGGTCAGATAGTGAAGTTTTTTTTAAGAGAGTGGTCTTACTAGTAAGACAGACAATAGCAAGGCATATTGAAGTTGTCGGAATGAACTGAAATGGTCTTAATGGGGTCTCAACTTTGAGCCTGTGAGGTTTTATTGTTTAGTCGCATAGCTACCTTTATCTTAATTTTGCAGCTGCAAAAGCGTCACAAAAGGAAGCAAATTGTTTGCCAAAATTTTCCAAATTTCTTTCCAGCATATGTTGGACGGAGTCGTTGACAACATTTTACGTTTTACGTTTAGATATGTTGCTCACAAAAGAATAGGTGCAACTTTAGATCATATAGCAACTCTGATAATTTAACATTAGGAACGAGGGGAAGCTGTACTTGAAAGTTTCGTACTTGGTTCATGTTGTTTATTTTCTCATTAAGTACAACTGCTATTCCAATCAAAATGGGGATCAGTGGTTGCTTTTAGCATCAATACCTCAACCAAGTATTTATTGGATAAATTGAACTACAATTAAGTCTATAGTGTGTTATATTTGCTTTAGGTTTTTAGTCATAATGAAACAACTACTATGATGTATCAGAGACGTTTTCTGTCTTCCTCTTCGGGAAGAATGATTTCTTCTTCTTCCAAGTGACAGTCGCAAAGCGAGAAATTGAGTTACATTTCCAGCCACAGAAGCAGCGTCAACATTTGTGTTGAACTCCAAATTTTTCAATGAAATACAAGTGCTATCAACTCTAAATGAACGTAATGGTTATAAATTAGCAGGAATATCATGGTACTTGTTTCCAACGTAGATTTTTAACATAAAATGAAATTACTTGGATTTTAATTGTTAATTTAACCTTGTTAAAATTTTGCGTTTAGCTCCAGAATTTCATCTGCAATTTACTATTAATTGGTTTCTGTTCATTAACTGTATTATTTCCTCTGTGTCAAAAGTTTTCTGTTCAGTTTTAATCGTGTTACGCATTATTTCTCTCGGAGTACCTGAGCTGTAAAAAGCAGACCTGGGATGTTGTTACGTCTTGGTATGGCCATACAAACACACATTTCAGATCCCGAATTTCACCTACAGTTTAACGTTAATTTTGCTATGATATTTTCCCCTTTTAGCTTCACATTGAGCTTAGTTTCTCTCTATCTACATATTTGTTTACAGCTGATGTGAGGTAGCCAAAACACGGATGACATAAGGTGTAAAAAAGTCATTTTTGTGTGAATTTTGAGAAATTTAAAAGGTTGTAAAATTTTAATTTCCTGTTTTACAATGTATCAATATATCTGGCTTCCCCATAAAAACTATATCCGCGGAAAAATCGGAGATATCAATAGACACATTAAATCTGTGTATATAAGAATATTCTTTGCGAAACACAAGACGCCGAAATAAGTTATTCATATTGATATATGTAAGTACACTTGTTTTATTTATGATATATATACCATAGCAAATTGTAACTGCAGTTTTGGAATCCGAGACTTGACAGAGTTATCTCTCTTCTCCTATATGTTCCCTTTATTTTTTGGCGGTCCGAAACCGGAAACAGTATTATATGGAGAATTAATCTCGATATAATTAGTATAAGCTATTAAAATTTGTTTAACATAAGTAACTATGAATGTTTTATGCTACATGTATAGGTGTTTTGTGTGTGGTTGACTGTTTAGATACTTTGGTGTTGTAACACAGATGTAGCAACTGGGGATGTATTGCAGTTATCATAAAGATAAAGCAATGTCCGTGAAAACAGTAATTAAGTTTTTGATCACAAGTTCTATTTTTTAAGATACTTAAGGTTTCCTTCTGGTAATGCCTCACCTTACTCTTATGAAAATGTAATTTCGTTAACTGAATTACATTGAAGGACACACATTTTCGTCGTTAAAAGACTGTATGTGGTATCGTTGGTTAAAAGATCGCTCTATCGGACGATGATGGTATACCATGTGACAAAAACCGTTGTGTGTTATTTATCAAATCTACTTTTAATTTCCTTTGTTCCAATATTTCTCAGATATTGCAGTTTCATCTCTCGACTTTGTTTTTATAATGCCTTATGATTCTATTTCGCCATCTCCTTATCTACTTTTCCACATGTACTGATATTCTTGCAGCCCGAATTTCACAAAATACCTTAGGCGCGGTATGGATGTTCAATACCGCACCCAATACTTATTGATACTGCCTATGTTGTTAAGTAGTCTATCATACGTTCATTCGGCAGGTATAAGTACTATACAAGGTACATATATACTCGGTGAGAAGTAGTGTTTCAAATAGTATTCGGTTTCTGGAAGTTTATTTTTAAAATGACAACAAGTTCAATTCAAGTACATGATTAGACTTTAATGACTTAGTATGATCACATCGTTTTCTCCAATAATAGGAAATTAGCATCAAACTGAGAGTCGAGATCAGCAAGGTTGCGTGTTTCCACAGACAACTTGTCGTATCAAGAATGGTTCATTATAGACTGGATTGCCTGCAGTAGTTTTTTCTAATCTCCGCTAGACTTCGCTTCGAATATGCAACGAGCACAATCTAGCGGTTTTAACTAAAGAAGGTAATCCAGTCTAGGTTCATTATAACCGGCAACCGAAGTCTTGCTCAACCAGAGGCCTACACACTTCGTAATTTTCTGCAGGCGAAATAAGCGTCTAGTTGAAGGAGACAAATGGTTACCATTATCACAGTTGAATTAGCACGGAATGCGTTGTACATAGATATTATGACACATGAACGCCATTCGTGGAAATGTTATCAATTATACATATTGTTCGTCATTTTTATGTGTTTTGTGTACAGCTTCGCAAACGTGAAAATGTGAGAAAATCTTACAGTCCATGCTGCTTTATGAAAAAGAGTATTCCTTCCGGGCAATATGATTATCAGGTAACTGATATAACTATCCATCTTTTGCGAGTGAAACTGACATAAGGTGATCTCAACGCGAGAGCAAAGATAATTGATTTGGCAAACAGGAGGTTTGCCATTTGTTTGCGAACTTAACAATCATTCACTTGAGTTTGAGTTCATCTTTTCTCTTACTCCGGACAGGTAAACTCACGCTTTTAGCGGTGTGGAATTTCCTTGTCTCATCCTAGGGTTGAGACAGAGGGATTTCCCTACTAGGACAATGATATGACGTCACAATAACAATTCACTGACGGTATGTCAACAATAAAATCACGTCAACGATACGAAACATTGGGACAAGAAAACACATACGAGTATCAAAAAATAAGAACAGCAAGAGAAAAAAATAATCATTCACCCCCTTGTTATCGCGACAGGGTAATCACAACTTTTGGATAAAGATTTTTAATGTACAAACACGAGGCTTGCTAACTTAATCATCTTTCCCTTCGGGTCGGATCACACCGCAATATAAGGGAGTGAAAGATTTTATTAATCTCACCAACGAGGGTTTTTATGATAAGTGAATACACCTTCCCAGGGTAAGAGAAAACCTCATCACTGCAGACACAAAGCATCGTCATTGTTAGTGCCAAACGCCATCGTTCTTAGAAAAAATTCAAATTTCAAAAGTTTTTCGTGTGAGAAATCGAACGTTTAAAAGTCAGCGTTATCATAGAAACAAACGACTTTAATCAGTCATACATATACAATTTAAAACCAGCGATAAATCTCTTGAGTAAATATTTCGTTTCCAAAATATCTTTTTCTCAAGGCTGCGTGTTGAGATTTCGACACTCAATTAGAATGTTAGGGGAAGATATGCTTTATTCCAACAAACACCCTTGCAATCTGTCACAATGATAAGCCAGTACGTTGTTCAATCGGGAACCATCGGCATTTCTCGTAAACCCTTTTTCGTTTACGGATAGTGTCGACGATTTCATATTTAAAATTAGTGTGTTGTGCCTGGTCGGACGTCTTACAAGTGTAAACAAATTTATCAACACTCTACCAATCTAACAAATATACATGACAATTGATGTTATACATCAACACACACAAAATAAATATCCCCTAGAACATTTTTTATCAATGAACAGAAAATCAGAAGAAGAGACAAGTCCAATTTTTTGTGTAACCCTAGTATTTTCATTATGTGCTTTAACAAACATCATTCGACTTCACGAAAACAAAACATATTGACGATTAAAGAAATACAAAAAAAAAAAAAATGGACGACGATATCTGCAAGTGAAACGAATAAATATAAGACACATATGATTATCACATCACATCGTTCTGAAGTGAAGCCACACGCTCCAAAATGCAGGTGTTCCCATCGCCTAGAAACCATAAATCAATGTCTTTCATAGCGCTAATAGTATCCAATGTCCTCTCTTCGCTGGGATAATAGCTTCGTATTAAGAAAATGTTATTTTTGTCATATTTATTTTTAGACGAATTTAATTTCACGTACCATGGGACATCTGCAAAATGTTTCACGGGAAGTAGACTATACCTTATACGACCAAAACGGTAATATATAAGTGTGGGAAAGTACTGAAAAGGGTCGTCGGAAGATAAAGTTCTACTGATTTTATTGTCCAAGCGGAAAAGTAGATTATTTAGACGAGCAACATACTCGGCTATGAGGGTAATCGATTCAGCACTGGACTTTATAAAGAAAAGACCAGTATCTAGTATGAAAGGGTGACTTGAAAAGGTCGTCGTAATTAAATCAAGACTTTTATCAGAATATAACATTTTTTCAAATAAAGTCACAGGATTCTGCAACCAAACGGACTCAACACGAAACACAAAAACATTAATGTTTCTTTTCAAGAGGTTAAATATAAGATCCGCTTGCCACATCAATAATTGAATATTGTTTACTTTTCTTGCTGTATTAAATCTATCAAATTCTTTTTCTATTGAAAATACATTGACTAAAGATTCGAAACTTTCGATATCCTCTTTGTCCTGGTCATACAAAGTTATGAAAAGTACATTTTCGTACGAAACTAAATCCCGAACATTACAAATCCAATTATAAACTAATGGAAGCGTACCATTCAAAACAAATGCGAGAAAGATGGGAGCGTGTTGAGATTTAACATGAGTTGCCGCCCTTTGAAGAACTTTCTCCATTAAACTCCTTGATTTTCTGGTGTCTTGTGTCGGGAACACTTCCGGTGTCACAGACCGAAGAGAAATTACTTCTATCACAACAAGAAAAGTGAACAGAGTGACGGCACCGATTAAAATCGGTTTGTATCGATAACATCCGAATTTGGACCATCTTCGTCTTATCTGAAACAAATAAAAATAACGAAATGTGATTACATTGAATATATTGACATCTTTGATCTCACCAATGTGATTAGTATTCATCATGTTTATATAATGGCCGTCACATATAATGATGTATATTGTTGTCGGTTGGTAGCCTGATGGATGTGTCTGTAGCTGTACAACACCGCGTAGCGGAAGTGATTTACATCACACCGCCGGTCGGTGAGACATGCAACAAAGGTCATGACAATACACGATATCAGTCCGTGATAATATGTACCAAGAACAACTGAACCAGAAGTCAGAAATTTTAAAAATAAATCTGGATTAATACCCTATCAAATATATATATATATATACGGCACAAACTCAATTCACAACGTTAACACACACTACGTAAAAGCGATACCACAATCTCGGCAGAGAGGTACCAATGTTGTCCATGGGTAATTTCAAGAATATACAATTCTACACGGTTCTCTAGAAAAGCATATCAGACAATGGAAATTGTTCAAATTTAAATTTGTACTTAACCACGTAGGCAGAAGTTGTATGAAGACCAGTGGTCAGTACGATTTAGGGCCAGACAGAAACATTACGCAAACGTCATAGCACAACTGAGGAATGTTATCCTGAACAGAAGGTCTTACTACTCAGAACATCCTCTGATTTATAAAATATGTTTATAAATAACATAGGCCAGAACGATTACTATGATACTACTGAGGAAAGGAAACCTGGGCAATAATGAAATTATAACGTATAACAATAACTTTATACATATAATAATGAAATAATGTTTTAATTCACAATTGTAAAAATAAAAATGTGTGTCCTATAAGGATAATTAGTACTCTACAGAATTTAAAAAAATCATGTTGATATGCATTCTGAAGGAGTTATATACTATATTAGTGCAATGAATGATTAAGGTTATTTGATCCATATCAGGCAATACAATGAAAACATTCGTACAATGCAGCATTGAGATTTGAAAAATGTCAACATTTTACTGAAATACAAAGCTGGTAAGCATGTAAGCATTCATGGCTTGACGATACGTTGTAAGTTTTTATCAATATATATGATGCTTGCAAACAAACTATAAATTATTTCATAAGTGACCTTTCAAACTTAAACGAGTGATCCAGCGACTAGTTGGGTAAGTTTTGTTAATTGGTCGACAAATATCCTACAAATATTATACTAGGTGCTCTTCACTCCTTAAATAGCAAATCATTATTGTCCTTTAAAAAAAATCTTTCACCATATTGACAATACGTCACAGATGTCACGCAGCCATAACTGTTACAACCCTTTGTTCCACGAAACGTATTAAATAGGAAAGAGGAAGTGACATGCGAGTCAATGCTATGGTAAATTGCCATTTCCCTTAAAAGCTTAACCACCGATAAAGAAAACAAAAGAACGCGTACTCTTTTTTCGATTTTTACAGTAGCTTTCGGCTTTCCTATTATTGATCTTTATCCAGTCTCCGTATGTTTTTCGCCATAAGTCTGACAATCGCAGGGGATTTCATTCCATGTCTTGAAAATAAGCCGTTTGTGGCTTAAGAGTCTAAATAGATTCGAAAACAAATCGGCATTGGAAACTGGTTGACATAAACAACTAGACTATTTTTTCGGTTTAAAAACAGAAGTAAGCTGCTGTCTATCGTCGAGATTTAAGAGTATTTAAGTAAACATTATTCACAAAGCTGAAGATACTCAACACAATTACACGAAACTTCGTATACTGTAAAATCATGAATTCCTTGGGGCTCAAATTTCGTGGTTTCCAAAAAGTATATACATTCTGTTGCTACCTTATTTCATGGATAAATATTGATTACAAACCAACTAGTATTATAGTTGATGCCAACGTTTAACTGTTTATTATTTAGACATATAAATTCGTAAATTTTGAGTACCGACATAATAACGCATGAACATTATCATGTCATATAACTATTGGATGGGTGACGATACAGCGGTCAAAATAGCTGTTATGTTATGCTTTTGGTAGAAAACTTATTATATTCTTTTAGGGAAAATTTCATTTGAATTTACATCAAACAGCACAAAATGCAGGGAAAGTCTTGATATGCCATTACAGTTGTTATAAAGGACACAACTCTCCAGACAAGTAAATCATGCATCGCTAAAGATGAAGACGAATACTGAAAATGTTTTTTGGTTTGGCGATTTATTGCCTTTTAAACAGACAGGGTCATTTTAAGACGAAGCTTCCGTGTAGTAACCTCACTGAACAACATTTAGGAGACCCACTGCATACAAGCTAAAGTAAATGGAGTGAAGTGTCTTGCCCAAAGTCACAACCACGACAACTTAGGTCGAGCCGTGATATTACTTCCTGGGAAGTACAAACCATCCCGAGTAGGGACCATCGAACCACACGCCTTCGATTGTCACCCGAGGTTGTAAAGATCGCGGCCTCTACTAGAAATGCAATGCGAATGTATCTCACTGTTTATGACACCATATATGCCAACCGTAAGCGTTTCAATTTTTGGCACCGTACAAATCAGAGGAAATAGTATGCAAAATTCGCAATGACCATAAGAAGTATATAAAACGTGTACAATGCATTCAGTGCAAAGGGTGTTAAAAGAAGTTTCCTAAATATTTGCGGTTTTACTCAAAAGTCTGAATGTAAAATGTATTTTTCACAGAGTATTTTGTTTCTTTAGAAAATGCTGATGAGGTGATTAAGTAAAGTTCTGATCGATATGAACTGAGCAATGTTTGAACGCCGATGTATAAAAAGTTCACTGTATAATGTAAAGGGATTTTTTGTTGGTTCAAGTTTTTGCGGTCTAACTAACAAGCTTGAATGAACATTGAAGCATTTTTTCATACATCATTTCGTTTCTATAGAAACTGTTAGTGTGCTTATTTACCAAAAGTTCTGATCGATATAAATTTGATCAATATTTGAGCAACAAAATGTAAAAAGTTTGCTATTTTCTATAAAGGGATTTCTTCCGTGGTTCAAATTTTCTAAAGCTTGAATGGAAAATGATATATTTGAAAATACATGGATTTCTGTAGTGATTTGATTTCGAGGTATTTACTTTTCAAGACATTATAACATACTTGAAGTCAACGAAAAAATGAGTATAGAAACTATCTTATGGGGCGACAGAGATATTTACTCATATGAAACTAATTGTAATGTTGTTAGATCTGTTCAAAAGCTTATAAAATAAAGCGTTGTAACACTACTTAATTCTGACCTGTTTGTAGTCGGCACTGAATTGATATAAAATCTATACTATCTCTTTTTTTCTTCTTTTCTTTCTATCCTATCGTCTCGTCTTTTCCTCCTTTGACAAAATAATTTGAAATTACAATTGTACGTCTACGAATTACATATCTTCATGTTCATAGTATAAATATGTGTCACGTGCAGTATGTTAATCATTTGTAATTTTATTTATGGAGAAGAGCTCATAAGTTGCTAGAACTTGTCTCTGATCCATTTATCTGCTACTGATAATACAATATGTTTAAATCAAATCAACGAAGAATAAAATAGAAACCCTCATAAAAGTCACAGTATCTTTACACTGTAGACTAATTTACGAAGTATCGTATATCTACGTGGCGGTTGTCGTCAATGAAACAGAAGACGCCTACTTTTCCGGAACACCTGGTCTTATTCTCCTTGTACTTTTTCAGGAGTCTCTGTGTAAATATTTCTTTTGTTTATATTTTGCTCGAGTCTTATTGAATTTTGAGTTTAGATTATTTTTCTTGTTGACGTGTTGGTATTTTCTTTTCTTGTTTTTGTTGTTGTTGTTTTTTTTTTTTTTTTTTTTGTTATTATCATTATTATTATTATTGAACAAACTTCACTGAAACGCATATGATCATGCAACATGTCATTATAGTAGTAATAAATAAGTAATGTTATCGAAAGCATACAAACAGAAAATATACTGATAACAATACCTTTTATAAGACATATATGTTGTCAAGAAAGAAAAAATGAAGAAAGCAACTATATAATCCATACTTATATTTGTCATAGCACGAAATGTGATTTCTAAGCAATTCTGATAATTTAGGTTTGTGACGAAGCGGAATGTACCAGCAAGTCAACATTATTCCTGTTAATATGCATACAGCTCAATGGACTTTGATAACATCGGTTGATACTATCTGTATTCTCATCCTTATTAATAGGCTATAACGAGATTCTAGCCTAGCATGCATTCCTCCACCTAGTGCTAAGTACTTACGGGCGTCAACAAATGTGGAAATATATAACCCACAAGCAAACCATTGTACAAAACGAACTCAGAGAAAACCAAACGAACTGAAAAAATAAAGCAAAAAGTGCCACAAATGAGAGGAAAGTAACTTTAGATTACACAATACAATACATTGTATATAAAGTCAGTATACAATATGTATAATGTCAGTGTAAAGTGTAAATGATGTCAGTGTACAGTGCATATAATGTCAGTGTACAGAATATATAATGTCAGTGCACAGTGTATTTAATGTCAGTGTACAGTGTATATAATGTCAGTATACAGAGTATATAATGTCAATGTACAGTGTGTATAATGTCAGTGTACAGTGCATATAATGTCAGTGTACAGTGTATATAATGTCAGTGTACAGAGTATATAATGTCAGTGTACAGTGCATATAATGTCAGTGTAAAGTGTTTATAATGTCAGTGTACAGTGCATATAATGTCAGTGTACAGAGTATATAATGTCAGTGTACAGTGTATATAATGTCAGTGTAAAGTGTATATAATGTCAGTGTACAGTGCATATAATGTTGGTGTACAGAGTATATAATGTCAGTGTAAAGTGTATATAATGTCAGTGTACAGTGCATATAATGTCAGTGTACAGAGTTTATAATGTACACCATCTATTTTGTCAGTGTACAAAATATTTGCTTCAGAGCACAATGTATATCTCAATGAAAATTCGTTTGAAAAAAAAAACTGTCTTGTCCATTTCGAAGTTGATGTCATGGGAAAAGAAATAGAGGGAACGTTTTCTGTGAATACCATACCTAACATGAGACAGATTCTCTTGGCGGTTACTCAACAAATAATCAATATACTTCTATAATCCAAACCACACTTTTTGCTTTATCATTGATTCTACTCATAAAAACACAAACAAACTTACGATTACATCAAATTGGAGAAAAGTGGTTTCCGAAGATATTTTATGATCGGAGAGGATACAGATATGCAGATCATGGTGTTTGAATTCGCACCAAGTCTTTGTGACTCCTATATATATATATATTCTTTTTACTTTGAAAACACCATATTAAATTATTCAATGCAATTTCCCTTGTACAATATCAATGTTCGCCTTTTTCAAACATTACCCCTGTTTTATTGATTTCCAGGTCGAATTACGATTATGTTGATAAAAGTCGATATTCTGTTCTTTTTATTTCCCTTCGTGGTGTTAGTTTCCAAACATAATTCAAAAAACGATACATAAACGGTTACATTGAAGAATTTCCTAGCAATATGAATGAAATCGATAGGTATTTGGTGGCTACCTAGCGTGTAGTAATCATGTTTGGTAGGTATATCCTGGAGACTGGTGGTAAAGTCGATGATGTACGTACGTCTAGAGGTCGATCCATCCTTTGTCACCATCATTTCCCTCGCGGTCAATGTGTGACCTCATTTATTTCAAAGTCTACGTTAATGGATTTGATAGTAATCGGTTACAAACTACACAGACGTGTAAAGGTAGCTGAGTCGTAATCAAGATATATCTTGGTAAGAATAAAGATGTTTACCGTATCGTCATTCATTTCATGTACGTACCGATTGTATATTAAAGTCCAGATCCATGACTGATGTCTTGTCTGCATCAATATTTATCAAATATCACCGTGTGTAGACCCTGAAAATGTAAATATGACAATACATATATGTACTATATATACACCGTATATATAATGACTCAACACGCTTGGTGACGTGAACATTTGCCGCTACATTATGTCAATACAACGGTTACTCGTGATTTGGCTAAAACGCATTTTGCAGAAATGCACAAAATGATATGATTGTAATATTTTCTCATTAGTTTTACAGGTTCTAAGAATATGCCATCTATAGTATTATTGGTTAAATTAATTGTTTAGTATTTGCACTGACTTCGCATAAACATGATTACACTCATTATTCCTTGCTGTTCGGAAGTAAAATGAAATCTTGAATCAAAATACGGACTTTAATAATAAGTCACTAGGACACAAATGTGAAATGCACCTTTTAATACAAGTTTAGAATTAGGAACAGCATCAAACTCGTACTTCGATTTCGTTCTTGTAGGACTTGTCAGTGGTGCTAAGGGCCCAAATTTTGAAGCCTAGGAGGCGAAGAAGGAAAATCCAAAGAAATCGTCAAGAAAACTTAAAATCTAGATGGAGAGTGCACTAACCCCATAACTCTATAAATTTAGTACTTTTCATATATCTGATAATTTTACAACAACGTCAAGTACATGTGTATATTCTGAACCGTGCCATTCGAATGAATACTACTCACATCTACCTATAAATAGATAAATAACAACAGAAAACCCGAAACAAAATCAAAAATCGCAAAAATACACAAAAATATAACGTAATATGTTATACAGAAGGTTGTCAACATGCCTTAGTTCCTTCATATACACAACACAATGTAGTTATCGATATAAATCAATTAAAAAGCCACCGTCCAATTTTACCGTGTCAGTAACGTGTTCTGTTCCACTTTACCACAACTATATATAGTCGATACTTACCATGGGAACAGCAGTAATGTTTTATACATAAGATACGGTTCACTGAGTCTTTAACATCACTTCCTCATTAATTCATGATAGTCTGCCCGATAGTCGTTGAACCGTTGTTATTGTCCCCCTGAGGTAACTGCATACTCAGGTGTACATAATATATGTTAAGATAATATTACTGTACCTGTGTACGTACTTGTTACTATATACAGTAAACACAAGACCGATCTGTCCTAATTATGTCAATTTCGACGATACATGTGCGTGCAAAGATATTCTTATCAGCAGATAACAAGTTAATATAGAATAACCTAAACTACAAATTTTTAGTCACAGAAAAATGTGGTGAGTCAACCATCACCTAAAAATAAAATGTAATTTTAAAAGTGCATGGTAACTGCTAGGATTAACCTACTGAAATATATGGCAAATTCCGAGTACAAAGTAACTGCCATATATAAACTGCAATATTGTGAAACCATTAGTTATCATGGTGTTGTTGTTGTTGTTGTTGTTGTTGGGGGTGAGGTTGGGAGGAGGGGTGGGGGTTCGCTGATTTCGTTGGTACTCTTAATAATTCAAACGAACCGTTGAATAAGTAGACTAATTCAGATATAAATTTTCACGAAAACAAGTGTCTACGAAATAGTATCTAAAAAACCATGAAAATGGACCCCACAAAAATGTATGATTTTACAATATCATAAGTGTAGGTAGTCACAGATATAAAGACGGTTATAAATAAACTGCTATAAATAAATTGCAATTCTTAAACAGGAGATATTTCTACAACTATACAGCAATACACAAGTATATCGAGAAACTGCAGTGTCATCAGTGCAATGAAAAAGTATAAAATGCAGTATTTTAAAAGCCAAGTTACGGTAATGGATAATTTTAATCTAAAAAAATGCTGGAAAATTACTTGTTTTGAAAATGTGTTAAGAGATCAGTTTAGTAAGTATCTCCAATGTGTTAAAAAAAACCGATAATACAAAGCAAAAACTTTCAAAATTAACAGTAATGGAAAATTAACACTTTCTGCCACACGACAACAAATCAACTTAACACGTATACAGTGACAATCTACTAATTATTCCTTAACGTAACGACCCAACTATTAATTAATTGGAACACCCCAATTTATCAGTATTTCCTGTGTGACAACAAATGTTGCTGTTGTAATTACTGGTAGACGAAAGCCTCACTTATTTTGCCCACAAAACAACTGCATGCATATGGATCTCACTCTGTTACTATAATTACTTCACATTCCGTTTAAATGCTAATTGTACAGACACAGCAATATACACGCTCACCCAGCACTTAACTGCATGTTTTAGTAAAACTTTAACAAACAAGAAGTCGTTACTATTCTTAGAACGATTTGATATACCAACCTTCCTCATATGCCAGTAACCAAATCGGAATTATGTTTCCATATGAACGCTATATGCTTAAAACTGATCCTTCGTTCCATATGTGTTAAGTCCAGACAGCTTTCACCTTGTTCACTTGTAGCCCCGGGACTGTCCGGAAACTTTCATACTACGCTGTGTATCATGGCTATTTATGTATATATATATATATTATACACGTGTCCAAACGACGCTGCAGATGTTGCCATCTTAACGTGTCAGGACGCATTACACACGAGACGGGAATCTATCCACAGAGCTAAAACTACTGTAATACACTATAGCCAACCATGGCTACTACTTTTTGTATTTATATTGTAATGCTGTTGATTACAGAATCTGAATTTAATCGATTATGGTTATTTCCTAATTTGCTATTCTTTTGTAAGTGAGGATCTGGAATTATGCTAACGTTTTGTGTGTCAGTAAAGAGTCATATTGTGTTCAACAGCTTCCCAATCACCTGCCCTTACAACAAATTGCCTCATGACCAGGTTTGCCTTTATTTAATTATTTGGACTAGACTTTCTCCTTCATGAAATAGGAGATCACTAAAGCAATCTGTTATTACTTTCTGGCGATCCTTTACATCAGCTATAAACGGGATGAATCAGTGAATACACATATATGAAATGACGCTATGTTTTATGTGAAAGAACTATGTACACTCCAGTGCAGTATCTAACGAGGTCTGTAACCTATATCCCTTGTCTCCCCCGTCAACCCGTTCATTGAGGAATATTGATCCAAGTTGTATCCAAATAAAACCGTATTTAACCTCTAAATAATCAATATCCAAACGAGATTTCACACGTTAAAGACACAACTATACATAAAAACGTATTAATTTGGCACTAACGGTAGCCATTTTTCTAGCAACGCTATGCAAAGTCCGACATATTTTTTAAGCACCATTAATGCAGCTATGAACAGGTTTTAATAGACAACAGAACTAACAAATAATTACAATAAAACGAAAGCATCCCCAGTGGTTAAACATCAACACCATACAGGAACAAAGACCGTCAATAGCAAAACAATAGGTAGACATTATAAATATTGATTAATACCAGGCTCTCATATAGAATTTATACAGCAGACTAGGTATAAAAACACATTGATTATTCAGGGTGTATCCGTTAAAAATGTCGGATGATCAATGTCATGTTGATTCCTATTTATCATCTGGATGTGATTAATGTCAAACTATCAAAAAGTCTAAACATATTTAAATGATTTGTAAGATATGGAAGCCAGTCATTTAAAGATTAAATTACACTGAGGCGAAATACGAAATATCGTCTTTTGATAGTGTTCAACTTAATTGGAGCAAAATATTAATGCGTCCTATAGAACATTCATATTACAAATACTTAAAAGAAAAATCACAAAATAAACTGCCGCGTGCTTTCAACCAACGATGTATTCAATTTGCTATTTCCACCACTTGTATTATTAGATGAAATATCAATAACAACAAAGGGAGACGACGGCTAAAATGATAAGAATGAGTATTACACAGTATGTACATGTCGAATTGGACAAAAATAGTATATCAGAGAAAAAATATTGTGCTTTTATAAAATTGCAATACGAATAGGATTTAATTTTGATACCGAATCTCAAAACAGTTAGCAATAACTAAACTAGAAATGTTCATAGACAATTTTGACGGACTTTTCACATTTTCTGGCCTGTAATTAAAGGCAACGCCTACAATACATTGACACTCTGTATGAAATCAAAGTACAAAAGGAATCATCAATAGTAAGAGATCAAAGCACTGAGTGTGCTGTTTTCCAAAACAATGCTGTATAACGTTAATTGACCGATGTGACCTTGGAAGTGGGCCAAGGTCATCCATATTACCAACAGTTATAGACAATTATATTAACTTTATATGTATTAGATATCAAGTCTCTAGGTCTTTCCAAACTTGAGAAGAAGTTTCGTATACGTTGGTACCCTATATTGAAGTTTTAAAATTTGAAATTTAAGGGAAACCGGAAGTTGGTCTTTGGTGGAAGTTTTGCTTAAACCAATCAAAACGCAGTCTCTACAGAAGGTTGTTAACCAAAACACGTAACTGCTTTCCTCTTTTGGTGAAAAGCCATAATTAGAGAATATCCTAATGATGATTATAACAGAAACTCTGCCATTGAAGTTAGCATAACGTTTCTGGCCAAAATCATATACAATTATCGACCTGTTTTCAGGATGAACGAGGATTTATTAACCGGAAAAGGTGATATGAATATTTATCATTTAGCAAAAATCTGCACTTATGTTAAACATACTACATGTACTGATATTCATTCATAGTGGGACCAAGTGATTATATTAATAACTGATATGTGTCAATGTCGTGTAGATATTTCGACTGCAATAGAACATACAGCTAAGTGACTATATCACATACAATCATTCCGTATGCTATCACATTATCCCATACAGCCACTCACCGCGACATCACACTATCACTTACAGCCACTCACCACAACATCACATTATCACTTACAGCCACTCATCACTACATCACACTATCACTTACAGCCACACATCACTACATCACATTATCACTTACAGCCACACATCACGATATCACAGTATCACTTACAGCCACTCACCACAACATCACATTATCACTTACAGCCACACATCACGATATCACAGTATCACTTACAGCCACTCACCACAACATCACATTATCACTTACAGCCACTCACCACAACATCACATTATCACTTACAGCCACACATCACGATATCACAGTATCACTTACAGCCACTCACCACAACATCACATTATCACTTACAGCCACACATCACGATATCACAGTATCACTTACAGCCACTCATCACTGCATCACACTATCACTTACAGCCACTCACCACAACATCACAGTATCACTTACAGCCACTCACCACAACATCACATTATCACTTACAGCCACTCACCGCGGCATCATATATCACTTACAGCCACTCACCACAATATCACATTATCACTTACAGCCACTCATCACTACATCACACTATCACTTACAGCCACTCAACACATCACATTATCACTTACAGCCACTCACCGCAACATCACATTATCACTTACACCCACTCAACAAGACATCACATTATCACTTAAAGCCACTCACCACGACATCACAGTATCATTTACAACCACTCATCAAGACATTACTACTTACAGCCACTCACCATGATATCACAGTATCACTTACAGCCACTCACCGCAACATCACATTATCACTTACAGCCACTCATCAAGACATCACATTATCACTTACAACCACTCACCGCGACAGCACATTATCACTTACAGCCATTCATCAAGACATCACATTATCACCTATAGCCACTCACCACAATATCACATTATCACTTACAGCCACTCACCGCGACATCACATTATCACTTACAGCCACTCACCGCGACATCACAGTATCACTTACAGCCACTCACCGCGGCATCATATATCACTTACAGCCACTCACCACAATATCACATTATCACTTACAGCCACTCACCGCGACATCACATTATCACTTATAGCCACTCACCGCGACATCACATTATCACTTACAGCTATTCATCAAGACATCATATTATCACCTACAGCCACTCACCACAATATCACATTATCACTTACAGCCACTCACCGCGACATCACATTATCACTTAAAGCCACTCACCACGACATCACAGTATCACTTACAACCACGTATCAAGAAATCACATTATTACTTACAGCCACTCACCATGATATCAAAGTATCCACCTACAGCCACTCACCACGATATCACAGTATCACTTACAGCCACTCACCGCGACATCACATTATCACTTATATCTACTCACCACGACATCATATATCACTTACAGTCACTCATCAAGACATCACATTATCACTTACAGCCACTCACCGCAACATCACATTCACTTACAGCCACTCACTGCAACATCACATTATCACTTACAGCCACTCACCACAATATCACATTATCACTTACAGCCACTCACCGCGACATCACATTATCACTTAAAGCCACTCACTACGACATCACAGTATCACTTACAACCACGTATCAAGAAATCACATTATTACTTACAGCCACTCACCATGATATCAAAGTATCCACCTACAGCCACTCATCAAGACATCACATTATCACTTACAGCCACTCACCGCGACATCACATTATCACTTAGATCAACTCACCACGACATCAGATATCACTTACAGTCACTCATCAAGACATCACATTATCACTTACAGCCACTCACCGCAACATCACATTCACTTACAGCCACTCACTGCAACATCACATTATCACTTACAGCCACTCATCACTACATCACACTATCACTTACAGCCACTCATCAACACATCACATTATCACTTACAGCCACTCACCGCAACATCACATTATCACTTACAGCCACTCAACAAGACATCACATTATCACTTAAAGCCACTCACCACGACATCACAGTATCACTTACAATCACTCATCAAGACATCACATTACTACTTACAGTCTTTCACCATGATATCACAGTATCACCTACAGCCACTCACCACGATATCACAGTATCACTTACAGCCACTCACCGCGACATCACAGTATCACTTACAGCCACGCACCGCGACATCACATTATCACTTACAGCTATTCATCAAGACATCATATTATCACCTACAGCCACTCACCACAATATCACATTATCACTTACAGCCACTCACCACGGCATCATATATCACCTACAGCCACTCACCGCAACATCACATTATCACTTACAACCACTCACCGCAACATCACATTATCACTTACCGCCATTCATCAAGACATCACAGTATCATTTACAGCCACTCACCGCGACATCACATTATCACTTAAAGCCACTCACCACGACATCACAGTATCACTTACAACCACTCATCAAAACATCACATTATTACTTACAGCCACTCACCACGACATCACAGTATCACTTACAACCACTCACCACCACATCACATTATCACTTATATCTACTCACTACGATATCATATATCACTTACAATCACTCACCGCGACATCACATTATCACATACAGCCACTCATCAAGACATCACATTATCACTTACAGCCACTCATCAAGACATCACATTATCACTTACATCCACTCACCGCGACATCACATTATCACTTACAGCCACTCACCGCAACATCACATTATCACTTACAGCCACTCAACGCAACATCACATTATCACTTACAGTCACTCATCACTACATTACACTATCACTTACAGCCACTCATCAAGACATCACATTTTCTCTTACAGCCACTCACCGCAACATCACATTATCACTTACAGCCACTCATCAAGACATCACATTATCACGTACAACCACTCACCGCGAAAACAAAGTATCACTTACAGCCACTCACCGCGACATCACATTATCACTTACAGCCACTCACCGCAACATCACATTATCACTTACAGTCACTCATCACTACATCACACTATCACTTATAGCCACTCATCAAGACATCACATTATCACTTACAGCCACTCACCGCAACATCACATTATCACTTACAGCCACTCATCAAGACATCACATTATCACTTACAGCCACTCACCGCGAAAACAAAGTATCACTTACAACCACTCATCAAGACATCACATTATCACTTACAGCCACTCACCGCAACATCACATTATCACTTACAGCACTCATCACTACCTCACACTATCACTTACAGCCACTCATCAAGGCATCACATTATCATTTACAATCACTCAACACTACATCA